ACCTTGTGTAAGACAAATGTAAAATTTATACATGAGGGCTACTCAGATCGTGTTTAACCGAGGGTCCTAATTAATATATTACTCAAAATCAACAGTGGCAACCTAACTATGTGAATAATAATATCGATGTAACTAATAAAACTAAATTGAAACAAGATCAAGCAATACTATATCAAAGAGAAACTAGGAAAAGCAAAGCGACCATCCATATTATGTTTTTCCCTAAGTTTGATGGACTTACGTGCCATGAGAGCAACATACTTCGTCTATCAATCCATCATCCCTCTTCGATCTTCTCTTCTTGCTCGTCCTTGGTACCTTCAGAGAGCTCTCTCCTCATTTTTCGTAGCAAAACCCTAGAGGAACGTCAAAAGACGAAGGATGTTGCTCATCCAAAACAACACCAGTTTTGGCGGTCTAGGGCATAAAACGGTGCTTTGTCCGCCGTTTTTGCATCTTTCACTTCAAGGTCAAGGCTTCAAATTGATAAGACATCAAAGCACGGTTCTTCCTCAAAACGACATTCGTTGTCGTTGTCCAGAGTGTAAAGCAGGGGCCAGCCTGCCATTTTTCCGCTTAAACCACTTTGGATTGTCCACTTGTCTTGGGGTTTTCTCCCTCGTCAAAACTCCAAAGTAGATCCTGTTTAATGCAATGATGAGCTTCTAAGATGAGTTGACCTGAAAATATACAATAACTACCCAAAAGGAATCACATGTGTAAAAACAGCCCTAGAGGCTATCAATCGCACCTTTGAGCAAATATAAAAAAAAATCCAAGTAAAATTGGCTAAAGATATGAATAAATGATGCAAACAATCATATAATGAGGTGATAACATGTACATTCTAGAGGTCATCACTAATGCTCCATCTACACATAAAAAACAAAGAATCAATAATGGAATTTCTAAATCAAAAAATTGCAATTCAAAAATTGCAATTGAAAACTACATAACGCACATTCAAAAACGTAAGTCGAATTAGATTATCACCGCAACCGAAACTACTAGAAACAGAGATTGTTAACAAAAGCTCATTCAAAAGACAGAGCTCATATCAGAGAACTGTTAATAAAAGACGCAGCTCAAAACTAAGAAGAGCTTAAACTAATCGAAGAGGAGATCATAATCATCAGACATTCACTATTCAAGGAAGCATTGTCTCTGTCAAAGTAACTGTTAGTAAAAAAACGCAGCTCAAAACTAAGAACAACTTAAACTAATCGATTCGGATATCATAATCATCAGACATTCACTATGCAAGGAAGCACTGTCTCTGTCAAAGTATTTTATCACTTTGTACAAAACGGTCACAAAACTTTTATTTCGCACAATTCGGTAATACATGTTTAAACTTATAACAAAAACATCATTTCCATCCATCTCCGTCCAAAACCCTAAAAGAATGATGATGTGGCGGCTGACTCAACTTTCCGATCAGCAAAATATTAATAAATTATTTCTATTATTTAAAATTAAAACTCATTTTCAATATTTAAAGAAGAAAACTAAAAATAACCCTTCTTACTTGGCTCAATTACACGTTTGGTCACTCAAATTACATAAATTTTTCAGGTTTGCCACTCGAATTACTTTTCTTTCTTATTCGCCACTAACTTTACAAATCGTTTCACCGTTAGTCACTGACCGTTAGTCTACGTTAACTCTGTTAGTTTTTAGATGACGTAGCAAACGGGACTACTTACGGTACTGTTAAGTTAGTGACGTGTCAATTTAAAAAAATATATATAAAATAAGTAAAAAATAATATATTAACCACCGTAGACTCATCCTCGCGAGCAGCTTTAGCCGTGGGCTTCTTCGCCTCTGCAACAACGGATTCAGCATCCTTTTAATTGTTTGTTGGCAATGGCGAGTCTGCGGTGGTTAATTGTTTATTTTTTTTATTTTTTTTAAAATTAAATTGACAAGTCATGGTCCAGTCAACTATCCGTTTGCCACATCATCAAAAAACTAATGGAGTTAATAGAGACTAATGGAGACTGACGGTCGGTGACTTACGGTGAAATTTTTCGTAAAGTTAGTGGCGAATAAGAAATAAAAGTAATTCAAGTGGCAAACATGAAAGATTTATGTAATTTGAGTGACCAACCATGTAATTTAGCCCTTCTTACTTCTTAGCCTCTCAACTCCTCTACTGTCGTCCTAAAAAAAATGAAGGGCAAAACCCCTTCACTCCTCTGCGTCGCCGGCAAGAATCACAACCACTAGGGGTGGAAATCGGTACGGTATCGGTATCCCAATACCGAAATCCCGAATACCGAATTACACCCGAAAGTCAATCTCAATCTCAATCCCTAAATAATTTCGGTATCCCAATCCCAATCCCTAAATAATCTGGTATCCCAATCGGTACTTCGGTATCCCAATCAGTACTATTATCGAATACGAAATGAATTATATTTGAAATAAGTAATTAAATATATAAATTAGATTTGATTGTTTAATTTAGAGCAAAAGGACTAAGCAATGAAGGAGAGGTGACATCTCAAGTTATTGTCATTGGTAATCTTTAATTTGACAAATGGGAGACTGAGAGACGACTAATACTAGTGTTTTCTTTTTGGTGTTATGAAAATAACAAGTTATTAGGTGAGAGATGAGAGTGACTTAAATTGGAAAGTCATAATTGAGTTGGATGGGGACTTCGGAGTTACAAAACATAGATGGAATGATCTATGTATAATAAATGACACTCTTGTCTATGGCAGCTAAGGAGGTACTTATCAAGGCAGTGGCACAAGCTCAAACTCTATATGCCATGTCAGTTTTCAAGGTACCCCAAGGTGTTATACAAGAAATTAAAAAAATGATTGCAAGTTTCTGGTGGGGAAGAAAGAGGGAGGAACGGAGAATTCATTGGATAAGTTATGTCGCCCTAAATATGAGGGTGGAATGGGGTTTCGAGACTTGCAGGGTTTTAATATTGCATTACTTGGAAGGCAAATATGGAATCTACTAAAGAAACCAGTGTCACTAGTGGTAAGAGTCCTAAAAGCCCGCTACTATCCACACTGTGGTGATCTGGAGGCGACATTGGGATCAAATCCTAGCTACATTTGGAGAAGTCTTATGTAGGCTCAATCCCTTGTGAGAGAAGGCACGCGATGGAGGGTGGGAAATGGAGAAGACATTCATATCTGGTGGGATCGCTGGATTCCAGAGGCAAAAAATTTCAAAATTCAATCACAAGCGACAGGGCTGGGAATCACGGAGAGGGTATCAAGTCTGATCGATTGGGAAACAAGGTCATGGAAAAGCAACCTACTGCAATCCCATTTCCAACCAAATGACAGGTTTCGAATCAAACAGATCCCAATACGGGGGGGCCCCCCCCCCCCCCCCCCCCCCCAACCTAGACCTGATGTACAGATTTGGGGAAGAGAGAAGACTGGCAAATACTCAGTCAGATCAGGATACAAGGAGTGGAGGAAGGCACAAGCTACAAACCAAATTGAGAACTATGTGCCTGTAGATTGGAAGAATCTATGGATGCTTGAGTTCCCACCAAAGGTTCGTATATTTGTTTGGAGGTGAGGAAGTAACATCCTACCAACAAGTGTCAACCTAAGTCGATGAATTAAAGATGCTTTTGATGAATGCCCTTTCTGTGGGCTGTTGGAAACTCAGGAACATATCACAAGGGAATGCGATTGGGCAGGGAGGGTATGGAGACCTAGTAACCTAGAAAAATTCTTTCAGATGGGTGAAGGGAAAAACTGCCAAGCTTGGTTATGTGATCTGCTAGAGGAAGCAAACAAGGAAGAGCTAACTAAAGTGCTAATCACACTCTGGTTCCTATGGAAAGAGCGCAACAACCATCTTTTCAACAACCCTAAGCTAGAAGAATGGGATATTGTGGGGAAAGCCTAGAATTACTTGGAAGAGTACGCGGCGCAGCAAGCTCAGGGCAACCCAGGACCTCCAGTGCCAAGAACCCGAGTTAGGTTTAATTGGGAGCCTCCACCTGCGGGAGTCCTCAAGCTGAACATAGATGCGGCGATCCTAGGTGAAGAAGGAACAGGTTATGGAATGGTTTTAAGAGATAGCGATGGCAATTTTATCATGAGAGCTACTCACCGGACGAGAGTGCGATGGCCGATTGAAATGGCAGAGGCGAAGGCGATGCTGTGCGGACTGCAATTAGCTCGAGCACACCAACCCCAAGCACTACTGCTGGAATCGGATTGCCAATCCCTAATTCAGAAGCTTAATCGGTGGGAGACCACATATATGGAGGTGGTGGTGATTTGTGATGAAATTCGTGAGGCAACGAAGGAGAGTGGAAATTTTGGGTGGAGATTATGGAAGAGGGAAGGAAATGGATGTGCCTATGAGATGGCACGATTGAAAGGCAGAATCGAAGAAACAGAAATGTGGCTTGATAGGCCACCTGTCTTTATGGTCCCTTTACTGTCCAAAAAGAGCAATGTAGTCACTGATCTTTGATTTTGGAATACAGATGAATTATAAAAAAAAATGACACTCTTGGTGGTTGAGGGTCGTGTAGTAGTGAATGAGAGAGTCAGGTTGAGAGGATAAAATACACACTAGCTTATATTTCGGTATTGATCGGTATTTCGGTATATACCGATCCCAATCCCGTAATCCCTAATACCGAATTATAATTGAAATTCAATCTCAATCTCAATCCCAAGAATAATACGTGTATTCAGTAATACCAAATATAGGAAAATTCGGTACGGTATTCAGTATATCCCAAATACCGGTACCAAACTTCCAGCCCTAACAACCACCACGCAAATCCCACCAGCATGATTTATAATTACCGAGACAGCAGAAACCTATCCAAGATCCAATGACGCGAGGAAACTCGAATTCGTTTTCTTCCCCTTCTCTGCGGTGCCGCTGCCGGGGGCAGAAACCGAAGGGGGAAAACAGAGGAGGGTTGGGGTTTGCACTCTTAAAACTAGCGTCGAAACTGAAGAAGCCTGGGAAAGGCAGAGGATGTGAAAAAAATGGGCTCTGGGTTCTCATCGTCGGCGTCCGAGAGGATTCTGAAGTGGAAGACGAAAGTAGATCGGGCGACAAAATGTGCTGAACTTTACAGGAGCATAAGTTGCCAGAGGGAACCCAAATTGACGCCCTCACATATGTCTCTCATGGATTTCCCGACGGCTAGAGGGTTGCTTCTGGAGAAGGGTGTAACGAACAGGACTTGAGAGTAAATAACCAGAAGTAGTGATGTCAATGGGGAGTTGTAGTTGAGGGGGCTAAGTGCATATTTTCCAAGTGTATATAGGAGAGGCGCGTAGACCGTTGTAACCAATTCTGAAGATAATAACAAACTTCTCTTTCCCTTCTCTCTCTAAATTCTCTCTTCTCTCTCAACTCTACCCTCTTCCTCTCTTCTTCCTTTCTGCATCTCTCGTCATTCTTCTTCGCCAAGTCAATCCACAGCTTCCAGGGGTGACAAGGTGGTATCAGAGCCTAAACTTGGCACTCATCAACAATGGCGACCACTCGCACTTCTTTCGAGGAGCGTCTCACAGCTCATATGGCGTCGACATCTCAGGCGCAGGGTGAATTGGACGACAAAATCACCGATGTACGCAACCAATTCAAGGATTTGGTGACTCGATCTGACGGCCATTCGCAACAATTTGTCAATCTTACTGCTCGATTGGACTCCATGGAGGCTGGTACAGCGACGCGATTAACTGAAATGGAGGAGCGTCTGGATACTCGTATTGGCAATTTCACTCACGAAATCAGGGAGATGCTTCAGCTGATCGTTAATCCACGGCCTCCGGATCCCATTTCCGGTGAGGCGTGTCCACTGGTTAAACGAAATGTAGCTCGCGGCATTCTTCCTCTTCCACAGCAAGGGTTCAGGGGAGTCGATCATGCCGTGGTGCAGGCACCTAGGGTTTCAGCTCCGTTTCATCAGGTAGCTGAGCGGGAGTTCCGTCCGGCTCCGGCCCCAGGTAATAATCATCAGCTGCCCCGCCTTGATTTTCCCCCCTTCAATGGCGACGATCCGCGAGAATGGACTAGGAAGTGTGAGAAACTGTTTGAAATTTATGCTATCCCTAACGATCAGAAGGTTAATTTGGCGGTGATATATTTCCAACGTCGTGCGGATTTGTGGTTCGAAGGCTGGAAGATAGGTAGACAGGTGATGGTGTGGGAAGACTTTGTGGCGGCACTCTGTCAACGATTTGGCAATCGCACTTATGGTGGTGTAGTTGTTGAATTCAACAAACTCAAGCAGCGCGGGTCCTTGGCGGAGTATCAAGAAAAATTTGAGGAATTGCGTTCATTAATGGCTCACTTTAATCCAGGATTGGATGAGATCTATTTCATTAGTAGTTTTATCAGTGGGTTAGAAGAGGAATTGAGGCCAGTATTACAGATGTGGAATCCTCAAACCTTGGCCGATGCTTTTCAGCTAGCCCAGTTGCAGGAGGAATCCAATGCAGCCCACCAAAAGAAGTGGTGTACAGTTCATGGGGGACCTAGTCGTTCAATGGGAGTTTCCAGTAACACAAGTACTGCTTCACCTCGTCGTTGGGATGGTCCTTCTCTGAGACCTGCAGGTGGGGTAAAAGCTCCCGTGGTGAACTCAAAGGGAAATGGAGCGAGAGGAGTATACTACAAATGTGGCGACAGGTATTTCTTTGGCCATGTGTGTGGGGCAAAGAAACAACTCAATGTTTTGCAGGCTGAAGGAGAAGATGTTGCTGGGGAAGAATGGCCTGCACCTGAGGAAGATGAAGTGTTGGAATCGGGTTTGGAGTCACAGCAGAGTGAGTTAGAGGAAGTGTCTATGCAGGAACTTAACAGTGGGGGTATGGCAAATTCTTTGATTGTACAGGGCAAGGTTAAACACGACGAGATCTTCATTTTGATCGACACTGGCAGCACTCACACTTTCCTCAGTAAGAGGAAGGCTCTTGAACTTCACTGTCAGTTGGTTCCAGCTAGCAATCCTCTTCGTGTGAAACTTGCAGATGGCACAGTACTGCTGAGTCAAATGGTTTGTAAAGGGTTTTGCTGGGAAATGCAGGGTAGGAGGTTTCAATATGATATGAGGGTGTTGAGCCTAGGATCCAATGATGCTGTTCTCGGATTGGACTGGCTCAAAATAATTAGCCCTGTCAAGTTTGACTTCATTGAACTACGTTTGTTTTTTGAATGGGAAGGCAAGGAAGTTATGTTGCAAGGGCTTCAAGATATGGCTCACTGTAAAATGATTTCTTGGAAACGCTTGGAGAAATGGTGGGCTAACTCTGAGATTGCCTTTTTGGGGCAGCTCTGCAGTCTGCAAGAAGTGGATCAGTTGTGTAGTTTGGAGAGCATAGTGGATCAGACCAAGCAGCAAGTTCCTGAGTTTCTGTTACCAGTTCTACAGGAGTATGAGGATGTATTTGGGAAGCCACAATCATTACCACCTTCCAGAGATTGTGATCATACAATCCCTTTGCTACCAGCATCTCAACCTGTCAACCTGCGAACCTATAGATATTCCATTCCACAAAAAAATGAGATGGACAGATTGGTTAAGGAGATGTTGGAGTCCAAGTACATTCAGCCCAGTCGTAGTCCCTATGCTTCACCAGTGTTGTTGGTGCTCAAGAAGGATGGTTCATGGTGTTTTTGTGTGGACAACAGGAAATTAAATGATCAAACTATCAAGGACAAGTTTCCTATTCCCGTGATTGATGACCTTTTGGATGAGCTCAGGGGATCAAAGTTTTTTACTAAGTTGGATCTGCTTTCTGGTTATCATCAAATTTGAATGAGTACCCTCGACCAACACAAGACAGCCTTTAGAACTCATCAAGGGTTGTATGAGTTCACTGTGATGCCATTTGAACTCACAAATGCTCCTGCAACATTCCAGGCTCTCATGAACAAGATATTCAGTCCTTACTTTCGACAATTCATCCTGGTGTTCTTCGATGACATTTTGATCTATAGCCCTGACCAGGAGAGTCATAAGCACCATCTGGCCACAGCCTTGTCAGTTCTAAGGGAGAATTCGTTGTATGCTAAACCGTCCAAGTGTGCTTTAGGGCAAACTCAGATCGATTATTTGGGTTACATCATTAATCAAGCAGGTGTTACAACTGATCCAGCTAAGGTGGATGCTATGGTTAAGTGGCCAGTTCCTCGAAATGTGAAAGAGTTGAGGGGTTTCCTAGGATTAACAGGATATTATCGAAAATTTGTGAAGAACTATGGTGTTATTGGTAAACCTCTGACTGATTTACTGAAGAAGAACAGTTTCCAGTGGTCAGAAAAGGCTCAGTTAGCTTTTGAAGCTCTCAAGATGGCTATGGTTCAGGCTCCTGTGCTTGCACTGCCAGATTTTAATAAAACATTTGTGCTGGAGACAGATGCAAGTGATGTGGGGATAGGAGCTGTACTGTCACAGGAAGGGCGTCCATTGGCTTACCACAGTCAAGCTTTGGGAATTCGAAAGCAAGGGCTCTCTACCTATGAAAAAGAGTACTTGGCTGTGATATTGGCAGTAACAAAATGGCGCCATTACTTGGAAGGGAGGCAATTCAAAATTGTAACGGATCATGAAAGTCTCAAGCACCTATTGTGACAGAAAATTCATACCCAAATCCAGAAAAAGGGGTTAGTTAAGCTGCTGGGGTTGGATTTTGAGATCCAATATCGACAAGGGAAGTTTAATCAAGTGGCTGATGCTTTGTCAAGACATCCCAGTTTTGCTTCTAACTCAGTTGGCAGGTGCCAAGCTATCACAGCAGTCTTACCTACATGGCTGGCTGAGCTGGAAGATACTTATGCAAGGGATCAAGTGGCTCAAGTGTTGATTGCTGAAGCTTCTGTACCTCTGATAGGGCCCAAGTTATACAGATTCCAGCAGGGTTTGTTGTATCATAAGTCGGCTATATTTGTAGGATCGACAGGTAAAATGAGGGATCAGTTACTGCAACTGTTCCCTGATTCTCCCATAGGGGGTCATTCTGGGTTACAAGCTAGCTATCAACGCCTCAAGCGTTATTTTTGGTGGCCAGGTTTGAAAACTGATCTGCAATTGTATATTCAGCATTGGGTTGTTTGTCAGCAGTGTAAGGCTGAAAACGTCCCTTATCCTGGCCTGTTGCAACCACTGCCCATTCCGGAGCAAGCATGGCAGCACATTTCCATGGATTTTATAGAGGGGTTGCCCAACTCTTTTGGTAAGGAAGCTATCTTGGTAGTGGTGGACCGTTTCTCCAAGTATGGTCATTTTTTCTGCCTTACCAAGCCTTACACAGCAGTAACAGTGTCTCAGATTTTCTTTGATGGGGTGTTTAAGCTCCATGGGCTGCCTACTACAATTGTATCGGATAGGGATGCCATTTTCACTAGTACTTTTTGGTCGAAACTCTTTGAGTTACAGGGGGTAAATTTGCACTATTCCACTGCTTACCACCCTCAGACAGATGGACAAACAGAGAGGGTAAACAGGTGTTTAGAGGATTATTTGAGGGGTATGGTTCATTTGAATCCTAAGCAGTGGTCTGTGTGGCTTTCATTGGCAGAATGGTGGTACAATACCAACTTTCATAGCAACCTTCAGTTATCCCCGTTTGAAGCTTTGTATGGGTATTCACCGTCCCAATTTTCCATCCAGAATCCTTTATCCACTTCGGTTGCTGCGGTGGCTGATAGATTACAACAGCAGCATCGTTTGATTGGGATGTTGAGGGATAATTTGGCTCGTGCTCAGAACAAGCAAAAGCATATGGCAGACGCTCATAGGACGGAGAGGGAATTTCAGGAAGGGGAGTTGGTGTTTCTTAAGCTCAGCCCTTATCGACAGTCGACAGTGGCAAGCAGATTAAACCAGAAGCTGGGTCCCAAGTATTTTGGTCCTTTTCCCATTACAAAGAAGGTTGGAGCTGTTGCCTATCGGCTTCAACTTCCAGTTGGATCGTCCATTCATCCGGTTTTCCATGTTTCATTGTTGAAGAAGGACAGGGTAAGGAGTCAGGTGCAGGTGCAGGGCAGCTTACCAGAGTTGGATGAGCAGTGCAGTATGAAGCCTGTGACTCAGGTACTGGTGCATTGGTCCCATCAAGCAGAGGAGGACGCAACTTGGGAATTTTTGGTCGAGTTCCAGCAGCGTTTCCCTGATTTTCCAGGTTGAGGACAAGCTGTTTGTAAAGGAGTGGGGAGTTGTAATGAACAGGACTTAAGAGTAAATAACCAGAAGTAGTGATGTAAATGGGGAGTTGTAGTTGAGGGGGTTAAGTGGATATTTTCCAAGTGTATATAGGAGAGGCGCGTAGACCGTTGTAACCAATTCTGAAGATAATAACAAACTTCTCTTTCCCTTCTCTCTCTAAATTCTCTCTTCTCTCTCAACTCTATCCTCTTCCTCTCTTCTTCCTTTCTGCATCTCCCGTAATTCTTCTTCGCCAAGTCAATCCACAGCTTCCAGGGGTGACAAAGGGAGAGAAAGCGGAGGAAGAAGAGGTTCCCGTCCGCATTTTGCTCTGTTTCTTTTCCGAAAATGAAAAGATCAAGGAAAGGACGAAAGTTTCCCTCTTTTTATTTTAATAATGTAAGTTTTATGAATATCTTTAACTGTAATTAAATAGTAATAAATAATTAGTTAATAAATGATAGTTTATTAATTATTTTGCTGATTGGGATGTTAAGTCAGCAGCCACATCAGCATTTTCTTAGGGTTTTGGATGGATATCATGAAATGGATTGAAATAACTTGTATTACCATATCTTGCAATAACTTGTATTACCATATCTTGCAAAACGAAAGTTTCATGAACATTTTGTATTTATGCTAACTACCTACAGGCAATTCACTCTCTGTTTTGTCTCTTCACAAATAAACATTAAACTTCTGAAATCCAATAGAAATCCAAACTAGCCAAAAAACAACTTGATTGCTCTATTTGACCTTTTGGGGAAAAACCAACAGCTCATCGCCACTATCCCTAGTAAACATACATCGACCCATCAGAAAACGTACGAGATCACGATTAGGCCTAGAAGAAGAATTGAAGATTACAAATTAAATTTTACAATTCCCTGAATGTGAATTAGCTATAAATCGTCACAGTAAATACTATTAATATCAGTAAAAAGTAACAAATGATGCCAACAACAGTCATAAGAAAACATCTGCCCATACGCCTTGCTGCAGATATCAACCATACTCTACTTCCCACCCCAAAATAATACCAGGCTACAATCTGGCAGCAATAGATGATTCCTCCGCGGCTGCCGATGAATAGCTCTGATCTGCTCTCATCTAATCTTCATGACTACATGATGGCCGAGGTTATCAACTCAGCCTCCTTTGGACGCCACATTGTCTTCTGAACACAAAGCAATCCCTCGCCCTCCTTCGAGTAAATCATTCGGATGTCCCAGTTCATCGATTTAGCCAAGCTCTTGACCTCAGTTATGGTCTCAACGTTGTCCCTTACGATGAGCTTGCCTCCCGGCCTCAAAATCCTGTCAACTTCCGCCACCAGTCCCACCAGGTTACACCTGTAATAGAAAGAGGGGGGCAAACATTAAACGATTGAGTTTATAAAGAGATTGATTTCAAGGGTTGTAACGGAATGTGATTAGAGAAAGAGTGGGAGCCATCTTCAGACCTCTTCTTGACCACCGATAGAAGATGGTCTGCGTGCAGAACATCGTAAGTTCTGGGGTAGGTGTTGAACGACTGGCACCAATCGTGGTACATTCCAAACAAGCCACGCTCATAAATTATGGGAAGCGTGTCTGGAGAATCGATCGGGACCACATTCATAACCCACACTTGCAAGTCCTTCAGTGCAGCCGCAAATCTAACAACATAAACCAACATAAGAGTGCATGAGAAAAAGGTGACTTCAAAGGAATCAGAAGAAGGCTGTGAATGAGAAAAGGTTGGTTGTTATAGCTTTACCCTCCATAGACCGCTTTCATGTCCATGACATTTCTTACAGTAGACCAGTTGATGCCCATTCCATTCAGGTATGATTGTGAGACAACATTCTTCCAGTGTTTATAGTCAGCAGCAAAATCTTCCTGACCTGGTTTGCCATAAACTCCAACCTGGGATTTCAGCCAGTATGGTGGACTCTCCAATCTCTTTGGCCATTGCTCTGGCCAGTTGGATCCTCGTAGAGATTCATCTTCTGGGACCTTGTGCATGCATGCCTCGAGAGGCACGTTCCTGAAGCAAGAGATAACAAATTATACGAACAATTAAAAAAGTAACAGTAACCAAAAATAGCAGCATGCAGAGCCAATGTCCTCATTGGAAAGACTCCAAAACGACTTGCAAAACATTCGAAGTATTAAATTGCCCATTATTGGACATTAGGTATCCAAACTATTTCTCACAAAAAAAAATATAGATATTATTCGAATTTCAAGGCGATATCTTACGCATTCATAATAATCTATAAGGGGCACAGTATCTACCAGAAAACACAAAGAATACTAAGAATGGTCAATTCATCATCCCTAGTTTTGCTTAGTTGTTATTTTATCATAAACCATCATGAACATTTCAAAGACGGGAGTGTTTGTGCCCGGAATTTCAAGTGAGTGACTAGAGTAACAGAGTTCAAGCAACAATGGAAAAATCTTGAACAAATAGATGTCAGTTAGAAAGGCTAGTTGATACTAGCAGTAGCTTAAGACAGCTTGCTCCTCTCTAAACCACATTTATAAGGGCTAAATAGTATACAATAGCTTCAGACAGTTTATTCATCCCTAACCCACATTTTATGGAAGGCTATTTGTAGCCCTCTTAGAGTCATCAGGAAAAACTCTGCCGAGGGCTCAAAAGTGAGAGACCATCATCAAATTCAATCATAACCAAAAAGGCTCATTGATCTGTCACTAAGTTTTCATTAGAGATAAATGAGAAACTCCATTTTTGCTATTTGACAAAATCTTGGTATATTGACTTAACATAAAAAAAACACTACTCTTGAAACTGCGAGGGAAATAAGAAATTACCAAGCTGCATTTGGATCATCAGATTCTTTGCACAATGGCGGTTCATTCTTGGTTCGCTGGTTATAGCACTCATTGGACGTGGGCTTTCTGTATATTGCAGCACCAACGCCATTCAGTTTATCCTTCTTGATAACCACCAGTTCCCAGCACATAGCCTTTGTCAATTTAGTCATTTCTGCCAACAATTTTTCAAGAGCAAATAGAAGGCACATCATTAAGACTAATTCAGAAATTTCATCCAGTTGACTGAGAAAAATAAATTACCTTTCCAAATCCCGACATCCTCTTCCAGCTTTTGATAAACAGGAGTGGCAGACCACACAAAGTAGCCACCAGGTCGCAGCACACGGTTGAGTTCCAAAAGAAGTTTGCCGCCTGCATATAATGAAACTAAAAATTAATCTCCGGAATAAACAAGCAAAAATTTAGAATTATTATGCGCAGAAGTAAATTATCACCTTCAATATGCCAAGGAACCCTGCAACGTGCACAGTGTACAACATCAAAAACATATCCTGGGAAAGGTAGCCTCTTGGTACCCATAACAGCTAATGTAGCAGGAATTCCCCTCTCTAGAGCAAATTGAACTTGTGCTTCATGCTCATCTTTGGGAGCAAAAGACATTGCAAGAACGTCTCGCTCGAATAGATAACCACCAAAGCTTGCCACACCACACCCAACATCCAATATCACACGGGTCCTTTTTCCCCAAGCAATATCAAGAAGAGACTGCAGTTGAAACAGAAACTAAATTAGGCAACCAACTACCAAGATTTAAGAAGAAAACATCTTTATTTCTCTAATTCTTAGTTCTTCATGTCCAAATAAACCAATACATCAGAACTTAAATAACAGGGTAACCAGAAAACAGGGGATCCAATGACAACTCACATCTTGAATGAAATCGATGTAATGAAGAGCACCATGCTTAAACTGAGTTCCTCCACCTGGGAAGGTAAGATATTCACCACTAACTTTAACCCAGTTTTGATGTCCTTTAATCTCCGCAAGCTTGGTATGGGGGACATTATAATACCAGATCTGCATCACGTAGAAAGCAATGAATACAAGACGAAACAGATTAAATACTGGGTGATCTTTCAATAGTTAGCTATGAAACAACAGAATTACCTTATCCCTGCTTTTAGGCCACTTAATTGACTGCTTATACCCTTCAGGCACAGGAACAAGGCAGGTAGGTGCTTCATCGGGGCAATGCCTCTCCCTATGTTCGTAATGCTTCGTGCTAGATAGCTTTCTGATTGCTTTCCAGTTGTCAAGGCAAGGTATATAGTCTGGCCCTGCAGTAGTATTGCATACTTTCCAAGCTTGGCCATCTTTTTTAACATCTGAAGGACTCTGTGAGTTCTTCTCCTTCTGTGACTCTGCAGCTTGAGTAGACCAAGCTGCGTTTTGAGTGTTAGTCTCATTAAGAAGCTCTGACTGCGCGCCAGCAGGAAAAACCTCAACTGCCTTATCTTTACCCTGACTTCCCTCGTTACTCTCACCAGAATTCCCGTCTGTCTCACCACCATCCTTATTCTCACCTTCGTCTGTGGACTTCTCCCCCTCATCTGACGCTGACTTTTCACCTGAACCACCATCTGTTTCACTATCATTCTTATTCTCACTCGACCCTTCGTCTGCGGTGGTCTTCTCTCCCTCATCAGACTCACTCTTTTCTCCACTTCGATTTTCCTTCTCCCCAGAATCTGAATTTGATCCTGCCTCGCCTGAATTTTCGTCCTCTTTTTTCCCATCTCCATCCTCAAAAGTTTGAGAAGTTGTTTTAGGGTCCTCTTGAGACTTCTCACCTTGATTTTCTTCACCTGCTTGGTTAGAGTCTGTCTCCGTCTGAGTTTCAGTCACCTTGCTGTCATCCTGGAGATCCGATTGGTTGTCAGTATTAGAATTTTCAGTGCTCTCGCCATCTTTACTTGAACCCTCTTGTAAATCACCAGAACTGTCTTCAAATCCCTTGGAGTTCTCAACCATACTTTGTTTGCCCTGACTGGTGGCAGACCCTTGAGATACCGCCACATTTGAACTCTGTCCAGGGACGACAGATGATGACATGAACATCCAAACTCCAACTAGACACAATGCTACAAAAGCGACCATACTGATAGTTGAACAATAGTTTGATGACTTCCTGCCATCGACCCGTGAATACTTCCCCATTGCCATTTCCTCCTCAACTAAAGAAGATTCCCGTGGCTGTAAACACCATGAAAATACAAATCACGAACAAAGTAAGCTCAATATCACGGTGTTGTGATCTTGTCTAGAACAGATTATTAGTGTAACGTTAGTTGCTACAAATTCCATACCCAAGAATCCATCTAAATCTTAGATCAGATATCTAGGTGGTGGTGGTGGATCTAATGACACTTGAGTAGTTGCAGACATCTCTTCTCTCCCCTCATTGCACCTCATGATCTCACAAATGAATCGGCCAATCAAACAGATGTAAAAGGACAACAGTTGATCCGAACACTAGCCTTGGAAACTTAGAACTCCAAAGAGGTACACGTCACTACACTAACTTTTGTTGCACCTTGCCGTTTGAATAATAATGGAAATCTAGCAGATCCATTGAGACACCAACCACAACTCATAATGAGCAACCACAGACATCAGCAATTAAGCACCAAAAAAAATAATAATAAATTATCCGCCATTGAAACAATTACGACTGCGCGTCAACCAACGACGGCAAGAGAAACAAGAAGTAAACAGTCGAATCTGAACTAATGGAACAAGACCCAGAAATGGAGACCCCTCCATTAACACTAATTTACTTCACTCAAACAAACGGAAGCGAAAACCCAGCAAGGAAATCGGAAGAGAAGAAACTTACCCTTTTGTCAACTAACACGACATCTGGAGGACTTGGATCTGACTAGAGGGGGGAAAGAGAAATCGGAAGAAACCCAAGAAAACTCAGTAGCTCTTTTCTCTGGTGCAGTCAGACAGTTGCCGTCTGAAATAGCAAATGAAGCAGGCCGAGAGGGGAAAAGGAATGGGGTACCCAGATGGCAAAGTAGCGAGGTTTTCAATATAGTAATGGCCGAAAGGAAATCGAACAGCTTAAGTGGGTGAACGGTGGAGGATTAGTGGTGGTGTGAGACTGCGAATGATAACGGGATGGGGCCATGGGGGTAAAGAGGAAATTTTTATATTTGCCTTTTCACGCGGATTTGGACGAGAGAGACACTGTTGAGATCGGACTCAGAGCATTTTCAGCGCCTTTTCCATTTATTTTAGAGTAAAATTCAAGTCACAGTTATTCGCCACCGACGCTGCAAATTTTGACGAAAGTCCCAGATCTGGACTGGAGTCTGGATGTTAGTTGCGGTGAGTGAGTGGGGATGAGATGATTGATTGATTGCCATATGCCGGTGATTTCCGCAACATTTTTTTAGCATATAGAAAAGGAGAAAATTATTTAATTTCGTGATCACATCATATGGCTCTATGGCAGCATTAGACTTTAGTAGCCTATTACGACAAAAAGAAGCCTTTTTTGATCGTTAAGGCACCGGCACCAGCCTAGCAATCAACGTAGTGTACGTGTGTTTATGCTTGTATTTGGCCAAATGTTTAGAAATACTAGAATCAACATTCGTGGCTAAGTCGTATCTCGTATGGACTATTTGGTCGTAGGGTAGGAAGTTTGGTTATAATTTTATGGTCCATGCAAAATCAACTGTTAATGATTAACTGAGAACACCGTACAATGATGAAATATAATCGTTGCATATTTGGTTTTGGGTCATCTTTAGATGTTCGCTGTCACCACAAGCCAAATTTTATAAAACAAAAATGGAGTCTATGACCAAACGATAACACGAAAATAGGTTGTTCTCTCTCGTGAGGAGTGGGTTGAGAAATCGCCATCATGTGCTCGAGCTGTTACGGGCTTTCCGCCATTGTGCGGCTCCGATGCCTGGCTCCCGGAGCATCGGGGCTAAATCCACGTCTCTGGGAGTAGAGATTTGTGGGTTTTGTTCCAATTCTTGCTGCTTCCCTTTCTTACTCGGTGATTTGGTTTTTTGCAAGTTTCAAAGATGGCAGTTGTCGTGCAATTTAACGACGAGGATGTGGCTTTCGGGGATGACCGGGGTGAGCTTTCACTCATTGGGCGTTTGTTTGGGGTACCGCCGCCAATGTATGTACTCAAGACGGTGCTCGGTCGGGTTTGGCATTTCAAGTGTGACCTAACAATTTCAAGCGTGGAGGATGGATTGACCCAATTCATGTTCTCAGTGAAGTCTGACCTTCACAATGCGGTTACCAAATCCCCATGGATCTTCGTCAACTTTATGCTAGTGTTGGCGTGTTGGGCGAACCCTTCTCCAAAAGTTGCAGAGAAGCTTCATTGGGCCCCAATGGTTGTTCATATTTGGCGGAGTCGTTCGATTGTTTCACCGAGAAAATGGCATTGCGCTTGAGCTCGTCACTGGGGGTGCTCAATGACCCTCTGACACTTCATCGGTCTGAGGTTGCTGGTGGCCTATATTTTCAGGCGGAACTGGTGCTAGACTTGACCGCTCCTCTGTCGAATGAGATTACGGCGGACCACATTGATCCTGCTAGAGGTAATTATGTTGCCATTGTTAAGTTTGAACGTGTTCCTCACTTTTGATTCCTTTGTGGTATCATTGGTCACATTGGGGAGACTTGTCCCTGGAAAGAGGAATTCGCTGGTGTTCCCCCAAGGTACGGTGTGTTTTCGGTGGTGATGGAGTCGAGGCCACAAGTGTCGGTGGACACTTTGTCGAAGAGGCGGCTGGTTCACTTGGATTCGTGCGTATACTAAGCACCCTATATGTGGCCAGAAAGGAGGGTATTTCGGAAGCCTTCTCTACAACCGCCAAAGCCCATGTTGCAGCATATACAGGGAGGAGGTAGTGGTGCTAAGTTGAAGGATATTTGTTGCCCGCCTTAGGGGCTTATGGGTCCAACTTTCAGGCTCTTTCAATTGTGTCAACCAACTTGGGGGTGCATTCTTCTGTCCTGGGCTCACGGAAGAGGACACCTACATGGGTGAAGATTTTGTACCCAATTTAGCATCTCCTTTGGCAAAGCGTGTAAGGTCTGCCTCAGCGGAGTCGATGTTTAGCGCTCCTGGTACTAGTAAGGTGGTGGCTCCCAACCTCAAGTGGGCCCAACTGTATCCATGAGTTTTATGGTGTGGAACTGTCGTGGGATGGGCTCCCACTTAGACTGTTCCCTCACTTGGTGGAGTCGTGGCTCGGTTTCGTCACAACATTGTCTTCCTTAGTGAAACAAAATGTGACGATGACTTTGTCAATTCCAAATTTGCTAGCTTAGGGTTCAAATTAGTAAGGTGTTTTAGTGCTTCCAATGGTAGTGGTGGCTTAGCTATAGCTTGGGCAGATCATGTTGTTCGTACAGTTCACCTCTTGTCTTCATATTGTTGTTTTGTCGAGTGTCTTGTTCCAGCTGTTGGGAGCTTTATAATTATCTTTGTGCATCTATTGTGTGATTTAGTTTCTCGACAAGGTCAACCTAATGAAATTAAACATTTGCTCTCGTCGGTTTTGTTGCCATCCTTTTGTCGTAGGCGATTTTAACTGTCTTCTATCTTCATCAGAAAAGATGGAGGAATACCGCCTATGTGGCTGCTTTGGATCAGCTTAATGAATTCGTGTCGGCATAGGGTTGTTTGATTTTGGTTTTCAAGGATCTCCCTACACTTGGTCAAATCGTCGAGTGGGTGGTGATCATATCATGGAGCGTCTAGACTGTTGTCTTGGGAGTGCTCTAAGGTTGTCCGAGTAGCCTAATTTGACGGTAATCCACCTCACTGACTTAGGCTGATCATAGAATGCTCCTTATGTAGCTCGTCAAATAGGGTCACTAGTCTCATACCAGATTTTAGTTCGATGGCCGCTGGAATTCGAATGCGGAAGCCTTGGATATCATAAAATTGGCTTGGTCTAAACCTACTTGTGGCTCTATCCAGTTCAGGGCTATTAGCCAGCTCCAAATTTCTAGGCATGACGTGGTCGCGTGGGCACATCTCGGAACTTCTAATTAGGCTCATCGCATTAGAGAGCTCAAATCTGCCATCGAGGAGCTTCGCGAAGCGATAGTGGTGGATTGGGATGCCATTCGGAATATATAACTAGAGCTCTCAGCCGCTTATGTTCAGGAGGAATGCTACTGGCGGCAAAAGTCTTGGGTTAATTGGTTGCGCGTAGGGGATTCTAACACGAATCTCTTCCATCGCACAGTCCTACAAAGGCGACGATTCAATCACTTGGGTGGTCAAAGGGATGATTCTAGCGTCCTACACCATGATGAAGTGGCCATGGAAGGTATATTTGTTTCATTCTATCAAACTACCTTCACCTCTAACAATTTTGATGCTTTATCTTATGTAGAGACTTTGGGGTGCTCTAACAAAGTCACTCACGAGATGAATGGATTCTTGATAGCTCCTGTCATGGAATTAGAAGTCAAGAATGTTGCCTTTAAGATCGGTAGCCATCAAGCACTCGGCTTCGATGGTTTTACAACCGCATTCTTTCAAGCCCATTGAGACGTGGTCGGCCAACTCATTAGTGATGTAGTTCTGAACTTCTTCAGCTCTGGTCGACTACTCCATAGCTTCAACCATACTTTGATATCTTTATTACCAAAGGTCATGAATGTTGAGTTGATGCGCCAAATCCGATCGATTGGTCTGTGTCAAGTGTTTTACAAAATAATTGCTAAGATTATGGCCGCTAGACTCAGTGTTATTCTGCCTGATATTGTTAGTATTACTCAAAATGGTTTTGTGCGGGGTAGATCGATTACTGACAATGTTTTGATTGATCAAGAGGTTATGCAACTCTTGAAAACTAAAGTGCAGGGTCGCGATAAATGAATGGCATTGAAGCTCGATACGGAAAAAGCATATGACCGTGTTGAGTGGTCATTTTTTTTACTCCTCATGGAACATATGGGGTTTTGTTATGAGGGGTGGAAACCGGTAAGGTATCGGTATCCCAATACCAAATATCAAAATCTCGAATACCGAATTACACCCTAAAATCAATCCCAATCCCTAAATAATTTCGGTATCCCAATCGCTACTTCGGTATCTCAATCGGTATTTAATTAATTACCTTTGTAATTAATAATTAAATATATATAAATTAGATTTGATTGTTTAATTTGGGGCAAAGAGACTAAGCAAGAAGTCTTGAGTTTGCCTAGAGCTAGGATATCTATAAGGAGAATGGAGGAGAGGTGACATCTCAAGTTCTTGTCATTGGTAATCTTTAATTTGACAAATTGGAGGATGAGAGACGTCTAATACTAGTGTTTGCTTTTTGAGAGACGAGAGTGACTTAAATTGAATAGTCAAAATTGATTTGGATGGGGACTTCTGAGTTGTGAAATTGAGACATCACATTTCCCCCCTCCTTAAGAAAAATTTCGACCTCGAAATTTGTTTGTTGTGACGACTCCAAGTTTCACTTGTGAAAATCTCTTTACAAGGAATTGTACCTCCTTCTAGCCTTGATGTATTGATCCCATGACATCTTGACAGGCTCCCTGTGACCTACTTAGTTCTTCCTCCGATTTACTAATGTGCGCTAGCATTGCTTAACGTGTAACTTTCCACTACTCCTTGGGTCGTAGCTCTACGTTTGATTCTCGTGAACGTAACGACCCTTTCTTGCCTCCTTTCCTCAGTTTGTTGGCCGCCATTTTTCGTAACTCATTGACTACTGCATGTCGACTTCCTACATACTATGAGTCTTTCTGAACCTTATGCTTATCAGCTCGCATCACCGTAGGGTAGGAGCTGCTTTGGACAAACTCTTCTCGCTCATGAAAAGAGTTCACTAAGCGATCCTCTTAGGAATCTCCTCCTTTCCGAGACGTATCATAACCCCGTGTGGCATCCTAAAGTTATTTCCTTATCATGATTAGAGTATACTGGAGATTCTAAAAATTCCCGAAAGACTTTGACTCGTTTGGCCAAACTTTTAACTGACACTCCCTTTTTCCTTTCCTTTAAAAACTGAACCCTTGAAAAACACTAATCTTCACTCCAGTATTCCTTGGAGACCAAGGAAAAGAGGAGTGCCGGCTCTGATACCAAAATGTAATGACTTGCTCTTTTTCGAAAACCAAACCATAACTCAAACCAAAAACCGGTTACTCCGGAGCAACCCAAACAACTTTTTAAAATAAATAAACCGACAATGTTTAAGAATTTCAAACAAAAAAGCCTGAACACTTGGGAAAATGACAATCCCAATACTTAAAATGAGTTGAATCTCCAGTTTACATTCCTAA